TTTTTTTTGACATTAAGTGGGGGGATCTTGAAATTTTGGAGTATTTTTAAAATTTCCTCTGCCACCCCTCCGGTATGCATTATGAACGCAGCCTTACAATAGAAAAAATTAAATGTAAATGGCTAAAAAAATACTTTGCACAAAAGTGGGACTCACTTGTTTCTCCATGTTTTGCCTTTCTTCTTCGAGTTCGGCCATTAGTTCCTGTACAAGGGGAGGAAAATGAGGAAAAAAAGTATATGGACTTTTACTATAAAATGACAGACAACAAGAAAACAAGCATGCACTGTCTGACTGAATGAGTAGTTGAGTTACTAATTCAAACATATTTTCACTTGATAAAATATCTACTGATTCATGTATCTGATGTTAATCTTTACCTCAAAGCGACGTTGTTGTTCCTCTGCGACAATTTTGTTCGTCTTTTCACGTTCAATTTCTTCATCGTAGTCTTTCATGCGTTTCAAGACCTCGGCGTGCTGTTGCATTTCATCTCGAAGTTCCTGAAAAAGAAAAAGTTAAATCGTGAAGGAAGAGTTGAGAGTTTGTTTTGTTTTTGAGGTGCAGTTTCTTCGGCGATTCTCATTTTTAAATTGTACAAACCGGTATGAATTTCATGAGGATATTTGCTTGCACGTCTTTAGCTCCACGACCATCCATCTTGTATCTTTCTTCTATTTTATCGTAAGCTTCAACAAGGTCCTTAAACTCCATCTTAGCGGCTCCTGAACCACATAGCTGAGCGAGGACTGGGTTCAGGATTTGTTCTTTTAGTTTCTTGAGCAGGTTGCTGCAGTAGACTTGAGTATGACGTCTGTTTTCTTGTATCCAATCTTCCAGGATGGTCTTTGTTTTATTCTAATATCGACAAGAAAGAAGTAATTTCATGTTTTGGTATTGCTTCTTTTAGGAGAAACAAATTTCCACAGTTTATGTATATCATTCTTACGTCACAGCTAGTGATATGGAACTGTGAAGGTTATAAAGAAACTGTAAATATTCAGTGTATTAATGCACCTGACGAGAGAGAACCCGTCAGAAAAGTAGTGCCATATTGTGATCGTACTTTTTTTAAATTTTATTATTTTATATATAGGCCCCTCGTATTGACTTCCTAGGGGAACCGTTTTGGGGGACAAAACAACAGGCCGTCATTGTTCATTGTTTTGTCACCAGAACAATTCCTTTCGGGACTCAGTGCAAGGCGTCTATTTATCAGTTTTCAACATTACCCTAAACTCTGTCAGATACTCGTCAACGTGTTTTGTCGACAAATCAAACGTTTCACGACGAAACGTTACTAAACCAACATCTACTGCATTCTCGTGTGATTCCCTGATCGCTTCGGCTTCGCAGGGGATCTTGTCTTTCATTTGTGACGTCATTTCCTGTTTATAGGCAGCAAGGGCTGCAGCCAACACCTCGGTACATTTGTTATGCACAAATGTGTCCCACGCGTTCTCTACGTTGGGTACGGTGCCTGGAGTGTTGAGAGCCTCGACAAACAGCTGAGCCAGGGCAGCTAGAGCTACAAAAGACATTAGTAAGTGAAACCAGAAGAATGAATCGCAAGCAGTGCAAGCTTCAATATTGCTTGAATAAACAGATTCGAGAAGACAGTTGAAAATGTGACATCGTACCTCTTATTGGAAAGCCGTTATATCCCATAAGCCAATCATGAATGGGCATCTAGTATGTCATTCAATAATATACTAATAAAGTTATATAATATATTAAGCTTTAATAATATACTAAGCATGAGGATATGCTTTAGATATACTACCTTCTCCAGTCACAAATTCGCCTTCGTTTATAGATTTCATTGGTGCTAGTTTGGGATGGAGCATGGCTTTAAATCCTTTGATACCTTCTAAGAATTTGGAATTAACTTGGGACTCTAGTGACTTGTCGTTGAGGTTTTGCACAACCTAATGATTAACATATGTCAAAATTGAAATAAATTAGAAAGAAATCATGAGAAATCAACCAACCCTCTAGTAGTTTCAACTATTGCCGAACTTGTTTACTTGTGAGTGAGGCCGATTTTTCGTTAATCAAGAGAAGAAACACCATGGAAACTATTCTAAACATTTTGGTCATGGCATTCACACAATCCTTCAGTTTGTCAGGTTTATGGTAACCAACCTGTGGACGGTAGGAAGGAGGTGGCAGAGAAAAGGCATCAAAATCTGAGAAGAAATTAAGGATGCTGTCTGCTGCCTTGAGAGCTCTTCTTGATGATCCTGCTTCACCTTCTGCGTTCAAAACCTGATTATGAAAGAAGACGAAAGACTGAGATTAAAAAAAGTATTGAAGGTTAAGTTCAAGAGAAACCGTTCTCATTTCCTTCTCGATAAAAACTCATTCTTGACTAGAGGATGACTGATCATGATCAGGACAATGCCACTTGTTACGTACATTTTCTAGCATAGCTTACATACGCATTCTTTAAAAACAGTCTGATGGAAGACAACTTGTAAGATAACTTTAACACTGTTCATTTTAGTCTGTGGATCAAAAACAAAGTAACTCCTTACTTTCTTCAGGAAGTACTCCTTGATGTTGCTACATCCTGCAGGGATTTCAAGAACCACGTCTCTCAAAAGCCAGATAAAGTTGGGAAATGCCTCGTAGAAATGGCTCTCGTCTTTATATGTTGCATTCTTCTTCTTGGTGTACAACTGGATTCGCTGGGAAAGTTGTGCGATGAAGCTGATGTCACGGATAGTAAAGGATCATAATAAACCGAACATGTAAGTGAGATATTCTTGCAATAACAACTGAAATAACAAAAGCAAAAGTCAAGGATACTCTAGACCCTCGAGGTCTGAGCGGTTGGGCACACCAGCAGAATTGTAAATCAATATGGATGACAAGAGAACAGATAATGTAAAGATCCTGTGATCATCTGCTTGCTTGGCATAAACAGAGTCAATTCCTTCAGAGTCAAGC